TGGATCAACAGCACATTCCCATGGCTGAGTCAAGTACAACCTCCAGATGCCGGAAATGAAAAAGAGGGAAGTCTTGCCTCTGTCTATGTACTGTCTGTCTTTGTTGTAAATTGTATAATGGCATTGAATGTTTGTAAACTGCTCTGAGTCCCCTCAGTGAGTTGGGGCGGAATATAAATAAAGTATATTATTATTAACATTAGGAAGAACATCCTGACCATAAGAGCTGTTCAACAGTGGAACTCTCTGTCTCTGGAAGTTCCTCTTTGGAGGCTTTTGAACAGAGGCTGGGTGGCCATCTGTCAGGGATGCTTTGATTGTGCTTTATCCTGAATGGCAGGAGGTTGGACTAGATGTGGTGTTTCCCAACTGTATAATTCTATGATTATCTGTTTGAGATTGCAACAGACTATTCTGGAAACTGATATATTCTGCCTTTTTAAAAAAGACATTTGGATGATCTTTTGTTCTTGAACGAAGTTTAGATGGCTATCTCTCAGGGATGCTTTAGCTGTGGATTTCTGCACTGACAGGGGATTAGGCTAGAAGATGGCCCTTGGTGTCCTTTCAAAACTTCATGAATCTATGAAGAAGTCAGTGAACAAACAATATCAGTTATTTCAGCACTTATGGTAGGGAATTTGTTGTTTCCAGCCCAGGTCTGTGCCAAGTGAACTGTAAACCAGTTCTTTCCTTTAAATATTAAATACACTTGGCCCTTCACATCCATAGAAACTAGTAGTGCAGGGCCCTCACAAAAGTGGAAGGGCTGTGAATAAGTTTTGATTCTGTTGATTATATTTAAGACGCCAAATAATCAGGGTACATACATTTTGTGTATTTCTGACTTCCTAAAACTGTGGGTAAAAATGCTGAGCTGCTGAACTTGCTGACCAAAAGGTCACCGGTTTGAATCCGGGGAGTGAGGTGAGCTCCTGCTGTTAACCCCAGCTTCTACCAGCCTAGCAGTTTGAAAAAAATGCAAATGTGAGTAGATAAATAGGTACTGCTTTGGCAGAGAGGTAAAAGGCATCCCTGAAGACATGCCGGCAATTCAATCAGGAAGGCCCCTCAGCGGGAAGGCAACGGCAGTCATGCTGGCCACATAACCTTGGAGGTGTCTATGGACAATGCCGGTTCTTCAGCTTAGAAATGGAGATGAGCACCAACCCACAGAGTTGGATACGAATGTACTTAATGTCAGAGGAAAACCTTTAAACCTTTGTTTGAGTTTTGGTTACATTTTCAGTCTATGTAGGCAAAAAATATTTTTAGTCTATGTAGGCAAAAAAAACAAAACAAAAAAACCCCACCCCAAACCCATGTAATTATTGATGGTAAACCTGTGTATAATGAAATCCACAAGAGTTAATCCTATGAGCTTTGGCTGTAATTATAGATAGTGGCACTTAGGCCCCTTCCACACAGGTATACAAGACCCCACATTACCTGTTTTGAACTGGAATATATGGCAGTGTGGACTCAGATATCCCACTTCAAAGCAGATATTGTGGGATTTTCTGCTTTGATATTCTGGGTTATAGGGCTGTGTGGAAAGGCCCTTAGAAACTGCCTGGAATTTGCTTTTATTTCATGGCAAATGTCCCAACACAGTGATAACAAATAAAGAGAACAACTCAAAATAGCCATTCTTCATGGCTGCTGTTTCGCGAACTAAAAGCCACTGTTTGGACACTGGAATGACGTGGGGATCACGTCACAGTAACCTCCCTGATTAACTCCGGTCTTGTGGAAAGAAATCCAGATAAACAACTCTGGTTTTATCTTAATTTGCTTTCTGTGCCTCGCAATCCCCGCCAGCCTTATCTTCCGTCCCTCCCCAGGGCTAACAAAAGGAACACAGGGTGGAAGAAACTGTTCGAGCATCAAGGCATTTATCTGGCATAGTTTTTATTTTCTGCCTCAGGAAAACAAAAGTGGTTTAGCTGTATCAGAGAAATATGAAGAAAGGGACAGGATGAGTGTATCAGAAAGAAAGGCTGGGCTTCCAGCTGCTGCCCTCTCCTGACAGCTTCCAAAGCGGCAGCATTTCAAGGAGTGTGCCTTTTTTTTCACCTTGAGATGAATGAAAAGGAAGAACTCCATCATTTTTCTGCCTTTTCATACACAATCCATTCATAGGCGTCTAAGGGATTTCCTTATTAGCCACACACTGTGCAACAGGTGTAAAATGCATCCATTTATGGTCCTCTTGTCATACCATTCATCCTTACTGATGGCAGTATATTTAGCAAGCCAATTAAATAGGATATTAATAATAACAACACCACAGTAGATGCAGGTCCCTTCTACGCTGTCATATAAAATCCAGATTATCTGCTTTGAACTGGATTATATGGCAGTGTAGACTCATATAATCCAGTTCAAAGCAGATAATGTAGATTACCAGCTTTGATACTCTGGGGGACCTTTCACACAGCCCTCTATCCCAGAATATCAAGTCAGAAAATCCCACAATATCTGCTTTGAGCTGGATTATCTGAGTCCATACTCAGATAATGTGGGATTTTCTGCCTTGATATTCTGGGATATAGGGCTGTGTGGAAGGGCCCTGCATTATATGGCAGTGTAGAAGGGGCGTCAGTGAACCAACACCCATTGAAACTGTTTCTGGTTGCTTCTGAGCTATTATTAAAAAAATAGGCCTATATTCTATGTTGTGCCATACCATAAACTCTGTATTAATGTGATATTAATACCAAAGTACAGTAATTAAAAGCAAATAAAGACAACGTAACTGAACGTAACACAATTTTACAATGGCCTGAATCACTGGGTTGTTGCATCCTCACAACCTCTGAGGATGCCTGCCATAGATGCAGGCAAAACATCAGGAGGGAGTGCTTCTAGAACATGGCCAAATAGCTTGAAAAACCTACAACCCACAATATCTGTTTTGAACTGGGTTATCTGAGTCCACACTTAGATAATATGAGATTTTCTGCCTTGATATTCTGGAATATAGGGATGTATGGAAGGGCCCTAGGGCCTCTTCCACACAGCTGAATAAAATCCCACATTGTCTGCTTTGAACTGAAATGATAGTGTGGACTCAGATAACCCAGTTCAAACCAGATAATGTGAGATTTCTGCCTTGATATTCTGGGTTATATGGCTGTGTGGAAGGGTCCTGGGTGACCTTGAGGCAACAACACACTCTCTCAGCTTAACAGTGGGATTTTGTGAGAATAAAACTAAGGAGAAGGAACATTTACAACATCTGAAAAGGCAGGATACTGTTGTTGTGTGGCTTCAAATAGTCTCCAACGTATGGTGACCCTATTCTTGTTCAGACCAGGGGCCCTCCCACACAGCCCTACATCCCAGAATATCAAAGCAGAAGATCCCACATTACCTGAATGTGGACTCTGATAACCCAGGGCCCTTCCACACAGCCATATAACCCAGAATATCAAGGCAGAAAATCCAACAATATTTGCTTTGAACTGGGTTATATGAGTCCACACTGACATATATTCCAGTTCAAAGCAGATATTGTGGGATTTTATTCCGCTGTGTGGAAGGGGCCTCAGTTCAAAACAGATATTGTGGTATTTTCTGCCTTGATATTCTGGGTTATATGGCTGTGTGGAAGGGCCCGTTGTTTGTCACGGCCTTCCTCTTGAGGCTGAGAGTCCACACTGCCATATATCCCAGTTCAAAGCAGATATTGTGGGATTTTATTAAGCTGTGTGGAAGGCGTCCCAGTTCGAAACAGATATTGTTGGATTTTCTGCCTTGATATACTGGGATGTGTGAAAGGGCCCCTTGTTTGCCATGGCCTTCCTCTTGAAGCTGAGAGAGTGTGACTTGAGCAAAGTGATCAACTCTAGTGAGCAGGGATTCGAACTCTGCTCCCCAGGGTTGCAATCCAATGCTCTCAAGCCACTACACCGTGATCAGAAGACTTAAAGGCAGGATATACATATGATATGTATTCCCTGAATAAAGGAAACAATTCCCTGCAAAATATCCTGAGAAGCACTTCAATTACCCATTGGGTTGCTCTCTACTTTTTGTTTAAAACCCTCCTACTAGATACATCCTCTGTTCATGTCCAGCATTTATTTTTAAAGTTTTAACTATTACATCTGGCCCGGCCATAGGTTTTTAAATCTTTGTGTGTTATTGTCTATATGTTGAGTTATATTAATTGTATTGTTTATTTTGCTTATTCTCTGTTGTTTTTATTGATGTGTTGTTGGGCTTGGCCTCATGTAAGCCACTCCGAGTCCCTTGGGGAGATGGTGGCGGGGTATAAATAAAGTTTTATTATTGTTATTTATTATTATTATGAGCCCCTGGTTTTTTATCGTGTCAGGAGCAACCGCTCCTGTTGTGAGAGAATTGGCATTCTGCAAGAACYTTACCCAGGGGATGCCTGGATGATTTTTGATGTTTTATCATCCTTGTGGGAGGCTTCTCTCATGTCCTCGCATGAGGAACTGGAGCTAATAGAGGGAGCTCATCRGCCTCTCCCCAGATTCGAACCTGCGACCTGTCGGTCTTCAGTCCTGCCAGCACAGTGCTTTAACCCACTGCGCCACCGGGGGCTCCTGGTGGCGCAGTGGGTTAAAGCGCTGAGCTGCTGAGCTCGTTGACCAAAAGGTCGCAGGTTCGATTCTGGGGAGCGGCGTGASCTTCCACTGTCAGCCCCAGRTTCTGCCAACCTAGCATTTRGAAAACACYCAAATGCGAGTAGATCAATAGGTACCGCTCCAGCGGGAAGGTAACAGCGCTCCATGCAGTCATGCTGGCCACATGACCTTGGAGGTGTCTATGGACAATGCCGGCTCTTCGGCTTAGAAATGGAGATGAGCACCACACCCCATAGTCGGGCACGACTGGACTTAATGTCAGGGGACAACCTTTACCTTTATACATATGATGAATACATAAATTATGTATTCATGATATGTATATCCTACCTTTAAGGGAAGCAATGCATCAGATTGATCTGTCAGGATTGCTGGACTTACCACAAAGCATGAAGAGCAGGACACAAGCCAAAGTGGCCAAGAGTGACAGCAGAGTCAGGCCAATGCTTTGCCACATCTTCGCAGTTAAGATCTGGGGCTGGACGGGTCTTCACTCTTCCAAGGAGTCAATAAGGAGGAGGAGGATGAGGAGGAGGAGGAGGGATAGATGGGCAGCAACATCACGACCCACAAAGAGGGAGGAAGCAGGCTGAAAAAAAGGAGGGCAGGGAGGTGAATCCGCTCCTCCAATGGGGCTGGGAGAGAAGGAAAAACACGCACTGCCCGCCCCCGCTTTTCCTTCCAAGGTCTTGCAATCAAGAGGCGGGGAGTTCCAAAGGACAGCAGTTCCGCAAGCAGGCAAAGCCAGGCAAAACAAAAGCCCTGCCTCTGGAGTCCCCAAGCTTTGGAAAGCCAAGATGCGGATGGAGGAACACAGAAAAACAGAGCTATTTCCTTCCAGCCTCCAACCTGGGCATTTCTATTCTTTCCCCCTGCGGGAGAGAGAGGGGGAGACCAACGAACGCACCCCCCTCTTCCGCGAAGAATGGTCTCTCCCACTCCGCCTGCCGCAGAAGAACACGGTCGCTGGAAAGGTGGCGAGCGGGGGGAGCCTCTCCTCGCATCACCCGGACATGGCTCTCTCTTTTTTTTTATCCCCAGCCCAGAGACCAGCGAGGGGGCTGATGGGAAATGCAGTTCAAGAAACCGGCTGGCGCTAGAAAAGAGCGGAATAGAAAACTCTCTTTCCCGTCGTGCTTCGCGAAGGAACACCCGCCCTCTCTGGATCCAAGCTTTTGCAAGGAGTGGGATTGCTACAGGTCGAAATCAGTGCTCAAATCAAGTCCCTCTGGTTTTGTGGCCGGATTTTGTATTGTTTTGAAATGGATAGAAATAGATAGGGGTTTTCCCGTAATTATAAAACGATTTAGGCCGCTTCAACACAGCTGAATAAAATCCCACATTATCTGCTTTGAACTGGGATATATGGCAGTGTGGACTCAGATAACCCAGTTCAAAGCAGATACTGTGGGATTTTATGCCTGGATATTCTGGGTTATAGGGCTGTGTGGACGGGGTCTTAGAGAAGAAACAAGATCAGGACAAGAAAACCATTTTATAATGATATTACATTAATTACAATAATCTGATTGCAGTTATATCATTTTTTCTAATTACAAAGATATCTAGAGAAGAAATAAGATCAGGACAAGAAAAGTATTGTTATAATAATTATAATTGCAGTCTATTATAATGGAGCCCCCGGTGGCGCAGTGGGTTAAACCCCTGCGCCGGCAGGACTGAAGACTGACAGGTCGCAGGTTCGAATCTGGGGAGAGGCGGATGAGCTCCCTCTATCAGCTCCAGCTCCTCATGCGGGGACATGAGAGAAGCCTCCCACAAGGATGATAAACACATCAAATCATCCGGGCATCCCCTGGGCAACGTCCTTGCAGACAGCTAATTCTCTCACACCAGAAGCGACTTGCAGTTTCTCAAGTTGCTCCTGACACGACAAAAAAAAGTATTATAATATAATAAAATTGTAATTATTTCATAATTTTCATGAAATTGGATATTTTGTTGTTTTGTTGAAACGTGATGTTTTATTTTGGATGAATTGATGTAAAGGGGATTTTTTTTTTTGGCCAAGTATTGCTCCATGTTCTTTATGCTGTTGCTGTTTTGGATTCAGAGGCAAAGATAATGTGAATTTTGCACTATATGACAATTCCTTGTGGCATCCAGATTTTTTGAGTAATAGAATATGTGTTTATTTATTCATGTATTTACAGTACTTATATTCTGTAATTAAGGACATTAAGATCGTCCGGGGAGGCCCTGCTCTCGATCCCGCTGGCCTCACAGGCACGCCTGGCGGGGACGAGAGACAGGGCCTTCTCAGTGGTGGCCCCTCGGCTGTGGAACGCCCTTCCTGCAGATATTAGATCGGCCCCTTCCTTGCTGGCATTCTGGAGGAAAGTTAAGACCTGGATGTTTGAACAGGCATTTGACTAAGCAGTGTGATTGATTAACTGATTATTGGAACACGGAATAACGGACAACGAGTTTTGGATTCTGATTTCACCGACTAGACCGGATGGATTTGTTATATTGATGTATTGATGTTTTGATGCCTATGTTAATGATGTTAATGACTTGTGATGCTTCTGTATTTTAAATGCATAATGATTTTGTATCCTGTATACCTAAACTGTTGTAAACCGCTCTGACTCGCCCAAGGGCTGAGAAGAGCGGTATACAAGTAAAGTAAAGTAAAGTAAAGTAAAGTAAATAAATAAATAATATATTCTGCCCTTCTCACCATGAAGGGAACTCAAGGTGGGTCACAAAACACATATACGGCAAACATTCAATGCCGATTATACAACGACAATACAGACAACAGATAGAGGTATACCGTATATACTTGAGTATAAGCCGACCCAAGTATAAGCCGAGGCACCTAATTTTACCACAAAAAACTGAGAAAACGTATTGACTTGAGTATAAACTGAGGGTGGGAAATGCAGCAGCTACTGGTAAATTTCAAAATAAAAACACATACCAGTAAAATTACATTAATTGAGGCATCAGGAGGTTAAATGTTTTTGAATATTTGCATAAAATTAATTTAAGATAAGGCTGTCCAACTCTGATTAAACCATTATTCTAACCTTCAGTGTAAGTGTGCTTATATAATCTTCCAATAATAATAAAGAGAGTAAAATAATAAATATAATAGCAATAGAGTAAAATAATGGAAATGTAATAATAACAGTAATAATGGAGTAAAATAATAAATGTAATAACAACAACAATAAAGTAAAATCATAAATGTAATAATAATAGAGTAAAATGATAAATATTATTATAATAATAGAGTAAAATAATAAATGTAATAATAATAGCCCAGTAAAATAATAATTAACCTTGACTCGAGTATAAACCGAGGGGGACCTTTGCTTGTTTACTTTGGCAATGCATGTTTGCCACTTTGTTCTTTTGTCTGTTAACCGCCCTGAGCCCCTTTGGGGAGATAGGGCTGTATATAAATAAACTATTATTATTATTATTATTATTATTATTATTATTATTATTATTATTATTAGAAACACAACAAGATGAGTCCACAGCAGGCACTCTGCTGACTGTTGTATTGGATCACACGTCGGACACTTCCCAAGTGTTTAGGACTGTGTGCTGTATCGACAAATAAGGCATGCAGATCCCAGTAAGGTGGCCTTCTGCAGCTGGCAGATGGTAATTTTGTTAGCACCGATTGTGTTTATTATTATTATTATTTGAAACACAATAAGATGAGTCCACAGCAGACAAGATCACTCTGCTGGCTGTTGTATTGGATCACACGTGTGACACTACCCAAGTGTTGTTGTTGTTGTTGTTGTTTTCAGCCTAAAAAAGGGCTGAAGAACTAGGCTTATACTCAAGTATATATAGAATATAGGCTTTTTCTCATCATTTGGCATCTTTGGAGGCTGTGTTCGGTTCCAGCCACAGGGGGTTGCTGTCACTCCATCTCCTTGGCAAAGAGCTTTCCTTGTTCGTAAACTTTCCTCCAAAACGCAGTGTCAAAAATCCCTCCCTGCTTAATGCGGTTCCTATTAATCTACTCAAATTGCTGTTTTTGATCTGCTAGTTGGGCAGGGAGCTGGGCTAAAGGGAAGATTTACTGTAGCTGCAGCTGGTGATTAACCTGCTGTGCTAAAGCCGGCCCTTACATAATTCACATACGTACTTTTGAAAAGTAGGAAATTAAAGACTTATTTTAAAAGTCAATATTTACATTTAAAGAAAATGACAATGCCATCTGTCAGAGGTACTTTGATTGTGCTTTTCCTACATGGCAGGGAGTTGGACTAGATTGCCCATGTGGTCTCTTCCAACTCTATTATTCTGTGATTCTATGAACTATGAGAACCTTGGAAGTATTATAACTAAATACTGAACTATTAAAAGGAGCTCTCTAGGTCTAGATTAACTCAAGTAGATATATTGGATGTCTAGCCATAAATGTTATCTCAGCATATTGCACTTGAGCACAAAACATATTCTATTTTGAATTTTATTGGAGAAGCACTTGAAAAGATGATCACTATCATACTGACTTCTCACAAATCTGGACTGAACTAGAGAAAAAATAAGGACAGTAATGCAAAAAAATTACTCTTCCACATATAATAAAATATTCATTTTATAAACAATCTGTCGCAAGGTGCAGTGATTTGCACAAGTGCCATATATGAAAATATTCTTTAATATTATTTTTCAAAAGCAAAGAGTCTTTTTTTCATTCACACTGGAGTTGGGCTTTAGCGCAGCGGGTTAAACCACCAGCTGCAAAAAATCTTGGTGATTGAAAAGGTAGACAGTTCAAACCTGGGTTGGCGTGAGTTCCCAACTGTTGGCCCAGCTTCTGCTCACCTAGTATCCGAAAACAGTAATGTGAGTAGATAAATAGGTACTGCTTTGTTGGGGGAGGTAATAAAAGGTTCCCATGTGGACATGCCAGCGATTCAATCGGGAGAGCATCTAAAGACAACAAAGTTTCTCAGCGTGGAAGATGGAGCAACAGCACCTCCCCATGGTCGAGTCAAGCACAGCCTCCAGATCCCAGAGATTGAAAAAGATGGGAAGCCTTTACCTCTGTTTATGTACTGTCTGTCTTTGTTAATTTTATAATCGGCATTGAATGTTTGCCGTATATATGTACTGTAATCCGCCCTGAGTCCCCTTGGGGAGATAGGGCAGAAAACAAATAAAGATTATTATTATTATTATTATTATTATTATTATTATTATATTCTGAGGTAGTAAGAACATGATGGGACACAATTTTCATTTTGTGTAGAAATATGTTTTTTAAATGGCAGATGCTGCTTTTCTCATCAACATTGGACTTTGATAAGCCTCATCTCATGCAATTGTTTTTTTCCTTATAGCCAACACAACTGTCAGCTTTTCCAAAGGTCAGCACACTGTTGGCACATATAAGGACAAGCTTGTATTTTATTTTATTTTATTTTTTACTTTGTAGCTTTTATGTTCCCTGGTTCAGTGGCATGGTTCAGTGATAGGGTGAAAAAAAGACACATTTACCAGCATACTTCAACACCCCTCCCCCAATCTTTATGACGACTGTCACTTTAAATACCCCTAGTAGAGTGTGGTCAAGATAGCAAAAGTTATTAAAGGAGGGCAGCAGAGGATTAATCCTGACAAATTAAGATAACTGGAAAATATGTCAGAATGGCATTACTACTGTGTCAAAACTGGACAAAAGCCAAAGAGCAAACACCACGTAACTTGAATCCTTTTTCCCTCTAGGCACAGACAGCAAGGCCTGGGGTCACACTGGGTTAGTCTGAACCTGCTGCTCCATATATATACTAAACAAACACAGGGCACTGTAGGTGAAGGCCATATGAAGTTAGTGGAAAATTATTAATCAGAGACAAGGTTGCTGCTGTCCTTAGCTAACCCTGGTATGACTCAACGCGGGAACAATGAGGAATGTGTGATCACCTAGACATTAGCATATCGCTCTAACTAGAATGTGAATCTGTTTACACTATGCTTCCCTGCCATCTCTTCTGTTATTTGATCTTTCAAAATTAATATTACAGTAGAGAATCGCTTTTGTTGTTGTTCATTCGTTCAGTCGT